AGGTGGAAACTGAGTACCACACATGAGCCACAGAGACGTTAGAAGGAACTTTTTCAGTGTCAGAGTAGTTAACGGATGGAATGCATTAGGCAGTGATGTGGTGGAGGCTGACTCCATACACAGTTTTAAATGTAGATATGATAGAGCCCAGTAGGCTCAGGAATCTGTACACCAGTTGATTGACAGTTGAGAGGCGGGACCAAGAGCCAAAGCTCAACCCCCGCAAGCACAAATGGGTGAGTACAAATAGGTGAGGTACACACACACATACACACACACCACACATATATATATATATATATATATTATATATATATATATATATATATATATATATATTATATATATATATATATATAGTGTGTATGGAGTGTGGTAAAGAGGACATACAAATGTTGGTACTATTGATTATTTGTGAGCAAGAAGGAGACTTGGAGGAGCACAAAAGGCAGTGTTATATTGGCATCCTCGGGCGTGTGTGATGCTCTCAAGACGTGCACAATGGTGTGGTGCGCCTGATCATCTCCCGCTCTCATAGTCTGCTAGTGTGGTGGTGGCTCGTCTCTAATGTTACTGTGGGGGGCGTGGGGGGGGGATGCTCACCACCTGGCTAAATGGTCCCCTACTCTACCCTTAGTGGGTTTGTTCGGGTTTCTAATGGTCAGGTTGTGAGGTAGTGAGGGGGGGGGAGGAAGAGTGGGTAGTGAGGGGGATGCAAGAGAAGGTGGGTGGGGTTGGGGGAGGATTGTTGAGGTCGTTACTATGGCACCACACCCCGGATGTCAACACAAGTCATCACACCTCACTACACTCTCTCACCTAAACTACCTACATAGGCTTATGGAACTAAATCTCACAACACTGGAGGATAGAAGGAACAGAGGAGACATGATCACAACTTACAAGATACTGACGGGGGGGGGGAAGAGGGACAAAGATGGTGGTGGACAAAGATGGCCTCTTCAGATTGAGAGAAAGCAGGACAAGAGGACACAGGTGGAAGCTGGAAGCACAAATGAGCCGAAGGGACGTAAGAAAGTATTCGTCCCGTGTACTGGTAGTTAACAAGTGGCATGCTCTAAAAGAGGAAGTTGTGGAAGCCTCCTCCACATCCACAACTTTAAGGCAAAAGTTGTGGATAGAGGTGGATGACTTTCAAATTCGACAATATATTTGAAAGTGGGAGTAGAAAGTAGTTACGGTGAAACACAAGAGGTTCGAGCCCTGGCGGGGCAGAGAGAGCAAGACCTCACTCCCCCGGAAGAGCGTGATAGGTAAGTACATATGGGAGGGAGCTACACAACAATATAGAGACAGTTTACACAGTAAATTATAACCAAACAGCACGTGTTCAAACACACTGAGTGATACACCAACACAATTATACTCCGCCACTTCTGACCACTCAACAGGCGTCACAGCTGTAATAGTCTGGCCTAACTGGGAGCCTACGGTCCTACGCCACCAACCCTCTAACACATACACAGTTACAACCCCGCTCCTGTGCCTCTACGGGCTCACCATAGCCCGTGCTACTTGTTGCCCCGCTCCTGTGCCAGGTAAGTCCTCTACGGGATCACCATAGCCCGTGCTACTTGCCCCGCTCCTGTGCCAGGTAAGTCCTCTACGGGCTCACCATAGCCCGTGCTACTTGCCCCGCTCCTGTGCCAGGTAAGTCCTCTACGGGCTCACCATAGCCCGTGCTACTTGTCCCGCTCCTGTGCCAGGTAAGTCCACTACGGGCTCACCATAGCCCGTGCTACTTGCCCCGCTCCTGTGCCAGGTAAGTCCTCTACGGGCTCACCATAGCCCGTGCTACTTGCCCCGCTCCTGTGCCAGGTAAGTCCACTACGGGCTCACCATAGCCCGTGCTACTTGCCCCGCTCCTGTGCCAGGTAAGTCCTCTACGGGCTCACCATAGCCCGTGCTACTTGCCCCGCTCCTGTGCCAGGTAAGTCCACTACGGGCTCACCATAGCCCGTGCTACTTGCCCCGCTCCTGTGCCAGGTAAGTCCTCTACGGGCTCACCATAGCCCGTGCTACTTGCCCCGCTCCTGTGCCAGGTAAGTCCACTACGGGCTCACCATAGCCCGTGCTACTTGCCCCGCTCCTGTGCCAGGTAAGTCCTCTACGGGCTCACCATAGCCCGTGCTACTTGCCCCGCTCCTGTGCCAGGTAAGTCCACTACGGGCTCACCATAGCCCGTGCTACTTGCCCCGCTCCTGTGCCAGGTAAGTCCACTACGGGCTCACCATAGCCCGTGCTACTTGCCCCGCTCCTGTGCCAGGTAAGTCCTCTACGGGCTCACCATAGCCCGTGCTACTTGCCCCGCTCCTGTGCCAGGTAAGTCCACTACGGGCTCACCATAGCCCGTGCTACTTGCCCCGCTCCTGTGCCAGGTAAGTCCACTACGGGCTCACCATAGCCCGTGCTACTTGCCCCGCTCCTGTGCCAGGTAAGTCCACTACGGGCTCACCATAGCCCGTGCTACTTGCCCCGCTCCTGTGCCAGGTAAGTCCTCTACGGGCTCACCATAGCCCGTGCTACTTGCCCCACTCCTGTGCCAGGTAAGTCCTCTACGGGATCACCATAGCCCGTGCTACTTGCCCCGCTCCTGTGCCAGGTAAGTCCTCTACGGGATCACCATAGCCCGTGCTACTTGCCCCGCTCCTGTGCCAGGTAAGTCCTCTACGGGCTCACCATAGCCCGTGCTACTTGCCCCGCTCCTGTGCCAGGTAAGTCCTCTACGGGCTCACCATAGCCCGTGCTACTTGCCCCGCTCCTGTGCCAGGTAAGTCCTCTACGGGATCACCATAGCCCGTGCTACTTGCAACTTTTAGTTCCCAGTAGCTGAATCTACAACAAGAACAACAGTTTTTAAATTAAATAAAACACCGTAATTTTCACGCAGTGTTTCGATGGAGTCAAGAGTGTTATGCAGTAAGAGAACAGGAGTAAATAAACAGATAAACTCCAAAAGGGAGAACAGCTATAGAAAACTTGGAAACATAAAATATAGAAAATGGGAAACAGAAAAGATAGAAAATGGGAAACAAAAAAGATAGAAAATGAGAAAAAGACTATTGTGAAACATGACACAAATACAATGGCAACCGCCTGTACACTAATTAATCTTTTTACACCGACAAATTAGCCATTAAAACACATATAAACGTCCAAAGATTAATTCATATTCAATACTGAGCAATTAAAAATGTGACATCTAATTTAGCAGATATCATTATAAAAAGTTTCAATGATAGGAGTGTTTTATAAACATTTCTACTTCATCTAAAGCCTTTGTATCAATCATTTTATTGGCCTGTCACACCTCCGGTACAGAAGGACATAACGGTTCAGCCGGGGGGGGAGGGAGGGAGGGAGGGAGGGAGGGAGGGAGAGAGAGAGAGAGAGAGAGAGAGAGAGAGAGAGAGAGAGAGAGAGAGAGAGAGAGAGAGAGAGAGAGAGAGAGAGAGACAGAGAGAGAGACAGACAAAGAGAGAGAGAGAGAGAGAGAGAGAGAGAGAGAGAGAGAGAGAGAGAGAGAGAGAGAGAGAGAGAGAGAGAGAGAGAGACAGAGAGAGACAGAGAGACAGAGAGAGAGAGAGAGAGAGAGAGAGAGAGAGAGAGAGAGAGAGAGAGAGAGAGAGAGAGAGAGAGAGAGAGAGAGAGAGAGAGAGAGACAGAGAGAGAGAGAGAGAGAGAGAGAGAGAGAGAGAGAGAGAGAGAGAGACAGAGAGAGAGACAGAGAGAGAGACAGAGAGAGAGAGAGAGAGAGAGAGAGAGAGAGAGAGAGAGAGAGAGAGAGAGAGAGAGAGAGAGAGAGAGAGAGAGAGAGAGACAGAGAGAGAGAGAGAGAGAGAGAGAGAGAGAGAGAGAGAGAGAGAGAGAGAGAGAGAGAGAGAGAGAGAGAGAGAGAGAGAGAGAGAGAGAGAGACAGACAGATAGACAGAGAGAGAGAGAGAAGGGCTATAAATGTAATGTATACTAACATCAGTATGCTCACAGTTTCATTAAGACCATCCAAACATACCCAAGTCTTTATTATATTTGTTTCAACATTATATACTCTAGTTATGTGCCTCTTCCTTTGTTCTCCTTCTCAAGTTGCCAATGGAACAAAGATAATAACAAACAAATAATAATAATAATAATAATAATAATAATAATAATAATAATAATAATAATAATAATTATAATAAAGAAGAAACTTACTACAATGCCGTAGTGCTTGAATGAAGATGAAAGACCATTTTAAGCATATTAAAAACCAAATTTTCGGGTACAACCTACATCCTTTATATAGGCACTGTAAACAACTGTTTACAGTGCCTTGATTTACAGCGTTATACCTTGATATAACATGGCTCAACATGTTATACACCCAAAGATGTAACCCCCCAAGCCTCAGTGTCTTTACTCTGAGAGCTTAATAAAGTCATGGATAATGTCCAGGAGTAAAGTTTACCTGCTGGCTGGCCAGAAAGCTATTGGAGAGGCTTTAATAATCCTGCAGACATTGATAGGCCTTAAACCCAACACCAAACATCACAAGTAATAAATGATTCCTGATACATATCAATTTGTTACAATTTAAAACAATTTTTATGTTTATTAAAATCATGAAACACAGAGAGAACGAAGCAGCCCACACCGCGAACAACCTAGTCCACCCAAAATTGTTGATTTCTAAGCGTGCAGTTTTGTACCTTGCAACCCAAATGTTGAAACACCCAATACGTTATTCACATGTTTCGGCTCCTTACACACTAAATCAAAACGGAAACACACGAGGAAAGTTACCAATTCCATCCGGAATTCACTCACAAAACATAACAATATTAAAATGGTGTAATTCCCATGCAAGACGAGGAGAAAACGAGCGTGCGAGAAGGGTGGAGGAATGAGGGGTAACTTGAATAACCACGTCACCCAGTATTAAACTGTCGCAACCCTCCCAAGCTGTCACACTTTCCCCTCGTATGTGAAGTTATTACGCCATGCTCTTCTTCCCTCATGCTAAAAGGAAAAGTAATTCTACTGAATGATGGGTACGAATTATATTTTCTTGGAATGCAGATAATTCCTTCTGAAAGAATTGTTGCCTGTTATATTAAAGGACTACTTCACAGGAGTTAAGCCCACAGTAGGCTATTTAACAGTAGACTGACCCACTGAAGATTGGTCTACAGTACGTAATCCTATAACTCATTAGCCCACAGTAGTTAAGTCCAAAGTAAATTAGCCCACAGTATGTAAGCCTAAAGTAGATTAACACACAGTAAATTAGAACAAAGTAGGTAAGCCCATAGTAGGCAAGCCCAAAATAAATTAGCCCATAGTAAATTAGCCCACAGTAGGCAAGTCCTATAGTAAATTAGCCCACAGTAGGCAAGCCCATAATAAATTAACCCACAGTAGGCAAGTCCTATAGTAAATTAACCCACAGTAGGCAAGCCCATAGTAAATTAACACACAGTAGGCAAGTCCTATAGTAAATTAACCCACAGTAGGCAAGTCCTATAGTAAATTAACCCACAGTAGGCAAGTCCTATAGTAAATTAACCCACAGTAGGCAAGTCCTATAGTAAATTAGCCCACAGTAGGCAAGTCCTATAATAAATTAGTCCACAGTAGGCAAGTCCTATAGTAAATTAGCCCACAGTAGGCAAGTCCTATAGTAAATTAACCCACAGTAGGCAAGTCCTATAGTAAATTAACCCACAGTAGGCAAGTCCTATAGTAAATTAGCCCACAGTAGGCAAGCCCCATAGTAAATTAACCCACAGTAGGCAAGCCCCATAGTAAATTAACCCACAGTAGATTAGCCTACAGCAATTAAGCCCACAGTAGATTAGCCTACAACAGTTAAGCCCACAGTAGATTAGCCTACAGCAGTTAAGCCCACAGTAGATTAGCCTACAGCAGTTAAGCCCACAGTAGATTAGCCTACAGCAGTTAAGCCCACAGCAGAAAAGCCCACAGTAAGTGAGCCCATGCTAGAGGACATTTGATGCTCTATCTGAGGGCGGTAGATGGTAAGGGGCAGATGAGTGAGACAGAAACTAACGATCAAGGAAGTGAATGAGACAGGAAGAGAGACGTAAGACCGCCAACACCGCCCTTGCTAATTGTCGAGAGAGCAAAGAAAAGAATCCTTTTATTCAGTCTTCGACACTCCTTAAGATGACGAATGTTAGCCAGACGCCAACCAACCATTGCCAATTATCACGGTGAAGTGACGACCGGGCGACGACGGCGACCAGGGAGGCGTTAACAAGCGGTTCGCAGACTTACGGTAATTCATGCTCCGCGAACCACTGCCTCACAACGCCCTCTGTACGCACATCACAACTGTCTGCCGCGCTTCTTCGCCAAGACTCATGAAATACTAAAGTTGTTGGTGGCGACCTACGAAGTAACAGGGATGATTGTGGCGACCCACGAACTGTCAGGGATGATTGTGGCGACCCACGAACTGTCAGGGATGATTGTGGCGACCCACGAACTGTCAGGGATGATTGTGGCGACCCACGAACTGTCAGGGATGATTGTGGCGACCCACGAACTGTCAGGGATGATTGTGACGACCGACGAACTGTCAGGGATGATTGTGGCGACCCACGAACTGTCACTGATGATTGTGACGACCCACGAACTGTCAGGGATGATTGTGGCGACCTACGAACTATCACTGATGATTGTGACGACCCACGAACTGTTAGGGATGATTGTGGCGACCCACGAACTATCACTAATGATTGTGACGACCCACGAACCATCACTGATGATTGTGACGACCCACGAACTATCACTGATGATTGTGACGACCCACGAACAGTCAGGGATGATTGTGGTGACCCACGAACTATCACTGATGATTGTGACGACCCACGAACTGTTAGGGATGATTGTGGCGACCCACGAACTATCACTAATGATTGTGACGACCCACGAACTATCACTGATGATTGTGACGACCCACGAACAGTCAGGGATGATTGTGGTGACCCACGAACTATCACTGATGATTGTGACGACCCACGAACTGTTAGGGATGATTGTGGCGACCCACGAACTATCACTGATGATTGTGGCGACCCACGAACTATCACTAATGATTGTGACGACCCACGTACCATCACTAATGATTGTGGCGACCCACGAACCATCAGTGATGATTGTGACGACCCACGACCCACGGAGGGTTTTATCTCCTCAGCACTGATGTGTAAGCCAGGGCCCAAGAGCTCTACCCCAACCCCCGATAATTACCACTAGGCAAGTACATCTAGGTGACCACATACACAGTATTCAGGGACTAACGTTTTTATTTTAGCGGCCGCGAGGGTTGATTAGTTGGAGGACGGTCAGAAAAGTTGCTTTGTATCAGAGCAGAGTATCTCCTTCTTCTCCCACAGCGTCACATCTCCCACAGCGTCAGCTCTCCCACAGCGTCAGCTCTCATCTCCCACAGCGTCAGATCTACTCTCCCACAGCGTCACACCTCCTCTCTCACAGCGTCAGATCTCCTCTCCCATAGTATCAGCCCCCCCTTCCTCCCAGGATCAGTATCTCCCTCCCTCTCCCATAGTATCAGCCCCCCCTTCCTCCCAGGATCAGTATCTCCCTCCCTCTCCCATAGTATCACCCCCCCCTTCCTCCCAGGATCAGTATCTCCCTCCCTCTCCCATAGTATCACCCCCCCTTCCTCCCAGGATCAGTATCTCCCTCCCTCTCCCATAGTATCAGCCCCCCCTTCCTCCCAGGATCAGTATCTCCCTCCCTCTCCCATAGTATCACCCCCCCCCCTTCCTCCCAGGATCAGTATCTCCCTCCCTCTCCCATAGTATCAGCCCCCCCTTCCTCCCAGGATCAGTATCTCCCTCCCTCTCCCATAGTAACAGCCCCCCCCCTTCCTCCCAGGATCAGCTGTGACGGGTGAGGAAGCCAGGTAGTGAAGCTGTGACGGGTGAGGAAGCCAGGTAGTGAAGCTGTGACGGGTGAGGAAGCCAGGTATAGTGAAGGTGTGGCGGGTGAGGAAGCCAGGTATAGTGAAGGTGTGACGGGTGAGGAAGCCAGGTATAGTGAAGGTGTGACGGGTGAGGAAGCCAGGTATAGTGAAGGTGTGACGGGTGAGGAAGCCAGGTATAGTGAAGCTGTGACGGGTGAGGAAGCCAGGTATAGTGAAGGTGTGACGGGTGAGGAAGCCAGGTATAGTGAAGCTGTGACGGGTGAGGAAGCCAGGTATAGTGAAGGTGTGACGGATGAGTAAGCCAGGTATAGTGAAGGTGTGACGGGTGAGGAAGCCAGGTATAGTGAAGGTGTGACGGGTGAGGAAGCCAGGTATAGTGAAGGTGTGACGGGTGAGGAAGCCAGGTATAGTGAAGGTGTGACGGGTGAGGAAGCCAGGTATAGTGAAGGTGTGACGGATGAGTAAGCCAGGTATAGTGAAGCTGTGACGGGTGAGGAAGCCAGGTATAGTGAAGCTGTGACGGATGAGTAAGCCAGATGTAATTAAAGCCAAGAATGACACATGGTGGGAGGAGTTAGAGGAAGGCATAAGGAGTCGGGCCCAGAGGATACCTGACCATAGCTCCTGGGACCCAGACATACCATGTGGAAGGCTTGAACAAGGAGTTACGAGAGGTGAAGCTCAAGAAGAGGTTTCACACCTCATAATGGTGCCGGGGAGGCTTCCTAACACCCGGGTGCTAAGACAACCCAGCCTCCTAAAGCGTTAATACCGACAGGTCGAAGGTGAGCCGGTCGGCCGAGCGGTCAGCATGCTGGACTTATGATCCTGTGGTCCCGGGTTCGATCCCAGGCGCCGGCGAGAAACAATGGGCAGAGTTACTTTCACCCTATGCCCCTGTTACCTAGCAGTAAAATAGGTACCTGGGTGTTAGTCAGCTGTCACGGACTGCTTCCTGCCTGGGGGTGGAAGCCTGGTCGAGGACAGGGCCGCGGGGACACTAAAGCCCCGAAATTATCTCAAGATAACCTCAAGATCTCAAGATAACACAAATGAACAGTTACAGCCAACAGTGTTATGTTCTGTACGTTAAAAGTATATAGAAGGCATGGAAAACATAAGAAAACTCAAACAGACATTCCTAGGCGTGTATATATGTACTATATTAGGCCCAAGAGTGTCTGTATAGGCCTAACATTGGTTATTTATGCCTTAGACAGGTTAAGTTAAGTTCTTTAGTTGCGTTTCAATTTTGTTCAGTATGATATCTGGGTGAATTCAATAATTCAAAGCGGATTTTTTGGGGGTTCCAACAGTTCATATTTCTACGTTTGACCAAATAGTTGTTATAAGTACTGAGATTACTGAAGAAAGGGCTGGTTAAGGAAGCTGTGTATGGCCCAGATAGTGTGACCAGGGGGGGGGGGTTAGTGAAGCGTGTCTGAGCTGTGTCTGAGTTGTCTGTGAACCAGACCATGTTGGTCAGACGGTGTGGCCATGCCAACACCCACACATGGTGTCAGCAAGGCGGACAGCCCGCCTGCTTTCATACCTCTCACTGTATTTCCCACTTCTAAACTTCCCTTCACCTATGCCTCTCCCTTCATCTTTACTCAAAAACAGAAAAAAAAACGGTGTGGCCCTAGTGATAAGGTAGTGTGGGTATCAACTTACATCTTCATTAACCCTGCCCCTGTTACCTAGCAGTAAATAGGTACCTGGGTGTTAGTCAGCTGTCACGGGCTGCTTCCTGGGGGTGGAGGCCTGGTCGAGGACCGGGCCGCGGGGACACTAAAAGCCCCGAAATCATCTCAAGATAACCTCAAGATAACCCTCATTATAACTGGCCGTTGTCCAGGTTGAGAAGCGTGCCCATCCTGGTGTAAACATTGTGGTGCCTTATAATGGCGTGATAGTGGAGGTGGCTTCCGGTGCCTGCCTCACCCACCACTACAACACCTACAACTGTGTCATAGTTCACTATACAGCCACCACACTTGCCTCCCGAGAAGGCCTCTCAACCACTCGCCGCACCATATTTTCTCACAAGTTATTGTGCAAACTTTGTCCTCAAGTTTGTAGTGACTCGTCTTATCTTAGTGCTGGTAAATTAAGATCCCAACTATAACGAAATCGCATTTAATGCACATTCCTTCTATTTTAATATACATTGATATTTTATTCCATTATACATTTGTTATCAGTAACGAATAGATAAGTAGGAAATGTAGATGTTTATCTCTCAGAATGTTTGGTAATATGTTTATTGTTTGTGATGTGTTTATATGTATGTATTAACACGATGTACTGAACGGGGTGAGAATAGCTTGAGCTACCTCATCCCTTTGTGTGTATTTTACCTCAATAAACTTATTTCAATTTCAATTCAATAGATCAGTAGGCGGGCTGTAAATGATGCGTATGGTATTATTAATTAATATAACCACTGAGTATGTACTGACCTATTGAGGTGGTGATGGTAAGATAGTGGATGAGCGTGCAGACGATGACAACCCTCATGGCGACGTGGTTATCCCTCGGGTCCACTCAAGGTCCACTTTGTTAGTCCCTGACCTGGTCTTACCACACCCTCACACAACGCTGATCTTGGCTTGCTCTTCTCCTAGTGTTTGGTGGCGTCCTTGGTACTGTCCTGCTGGTGACCATGTACTCTCTCCCGTCACACTGTGGCCGTGTGTGCCTGGTGAACCACTGGCCTGCACCTGGCAAGTCCTGCAGACTGTACTTCTCTCTGAGGTGAGTGGTCGCCGTGCTGACCAAACTACCTGTAGCGTCCTTGGTGTTTGACTCTTGCGTCCACCTTGCGTCCAGGTGGTTGTGGTGTGTGAGTGACAGCCTTCACAGCCTCTCCCTCACACCATGATGTACGCACTTTACACTCATCTGGTCACGCGTGTGAGCGAGGCACTCTCTCACCCCTCACACACTCACACACACTCACGCACACACATGCCACCCTCCTACTTTTCCAAAAGACCAGCCCGGACAGTCTTAGTGTTCTTCCTTGCTCTAGGTTACAACACCCGCCTGTAGAGCACCGGCCGGTACTCAGTCCTGGTGGCCGGTACTCAGTCCTGGTGGCCGGTACTCAGTCCTGGTGGCCGGTACTCAGTCCGGGTGGCCGGTACTCAGTCCTGGTGGCCGGTACTCAGTCCGGGTGGCCGGTACTCAGTCCTGGTGGCCGGTACTCAGTCCGGGTGGCCGGTACTCAGTCCGGGTGGCCGGTACTCAGTCCTGGTGGCCGGTACTCAGTCCTGGTGGCCGGTACTCAGTCCGGGTGGCCGGTACTCAGTCCTGGTGGCCGGTACTCAGTCCTGGTGGCCGGTACTCAGTCCTGGTGGCCGGTACTCAGTCCTGGTGGCCGGTACTCAGTCCGGGTGGCCGGTACTCAGTCCTGGTGGCCGGTACTCAGTCCGGGTGGCCGGTACTCAGTCCGGGTGGCCGGTACTCAGTCCTGGTGGCCGGTACTCAGTCCGGGTGGCCGGTACTCAGTCCGGGTGGCCGGTACGCGATGATCTCCGGGAGACTGCAGGGTACTTCACAATGGGAAGGGGTTGACGCTGGCTGGAAGGGGCTGGATGCTTGCTAGGATAGGGGATGGGCGCGTACTGGGATGGTGTGGACGAAACTTCCTGGGATGGGTGGATGGTGGTAGTGTAGCTACCAGAGTGTCGGCGAGGTCTGGGTTCCCACACGCCCGCTCCACCTGCCGGGGGAACAAGACACACACATGAGCACGGGAAAGTAACTTTAGGAAGAGTTCTCAGATATCAGACACGCAGCCTGAAGGAGAAAACTGAGGGGTTTATGAGCATAAAATTAGCACCGTAATATGAGACAGTGAAGACTGTTGTGGAACTTGTTTTTTGTGCGGCTTCTGAGCAAGATGTGAAGTGTGTTTGTAAGAGCTGTGAGCAACAGATATCCTGAACAGCACGTGACCTGGGGCCAGATTCACGAAAGCACTTACGCAAACACTTACGAACCTGTATATCTTTACTCAATCTTTGGCGGCTTTGTTTACAATTATTAAACAGTTAATGAGCTCCGAAGCACCAGGAGGCTGTTTGTAACAATAACAACAGTTGAATGGGAAGTTTTCATGCTTGTAAACTGTTTAATAAATGTAACCAAAGCCGTCAAAGATTGAGGAAACATGTACACGTTCGTAAGTGCTTGCGTAAGTGCTTTCGTGAATCATGGCCCCTTGTGCAGGGACAGCTTAGGCAAGGAGACATACCTCAAGCAGGGAAGGATCTGGGTGGGAAAGAGAGCATAGGTAGCT